CAGATTCAGCGGCTGCTGAAACTGACCGCAAGTTCTGACTTACATACAGAATCAACTTAAGAACCCCAGGCGTCCCCAAGTCAGCTGCTGCTGAAACTGATCAGCAGCTGATTCCAGGAAGCCCGGGGCAGAGCAACTCTGCTGGCACCGGAGCAGCGAGAAAGCCCCGTTCGTAAGTGCGGATCCGACGTAAGTCGGATCCGCGTAAGTCGGGGACTGCCTGTATATGCAATAACATGTCACTTACTTTTGAGATATTTTCTGCAATCTGGTAGCTAAATATTTATTTAGTTTTAATTTATTTATTCTTCTTTGAAAACCATGTTCTTTCGAAATCAGTTCACCTTATCGATAATTTTAAGTTCTGCTAGTGATTAAATTTGTATCTAGTTAAAGGGATGGGGACCTATGGCCCAGCATGCGGCATGTCTTGATCCGGCCCACGAGGCTTGGGCTCTCTCTTCCCACAACAGAGCAAGCCAGAGCTGGCTTGTCCTGCTATGGAGTCCGGAATCCCAAGCGTAACAGGCTGGATCAATGCAAGTTACAGGCTGCATCGGGCCCACGGGCTCTGCCTAGCAGGGGAGAGGAAGTGGTTCTTCATTCTGATGTCATCCCCTACTCCCTCTGGCTGGGGAAATGGCAGCTCAGAGAAGCTCTGGTCATGTGCTCACATGCGGTTCTACCACAGGGGAATGGTCAGAGGCCATCTGGGGGACCACCAGCCATGCAACTCCTCCCCCAACACAGGGAAGGGTCAGGACCATTCCTCTTCACCTCTGCTCTACTCTTCCCTCTCTCTTTCTCGCCCCGGAGCTCGCAGGTAGCAATCCGCCACCTCGACCTCCGGGGCGAGAAAGCCCCGTTCGTAAGTGCGGAGCCGACATAAGTCGGATCCGCGTAAGTCGGGGACTGCCTGTACTTCATTTTCATTACATTATTTAGCTTTGTCTAGTCTGATCTTTCTAGCTATGGGGGTTGGCAACAGTTGGAGAAAACCAGGTCCAATTTTCTAAATATATAGTTTTCTTTAAATATTTGAACAATGCAATCCACCTTCCCAAATTAATAAAACCAATTATTGTAAACCCTGGCTGTAGACTTTTACCCCAGTTCTGAATTGGGTCCTGGAACATGGCGAGGGCTAGAACTATGGCTTTAAACCACATTTGTGTCTTCCATTAAGGCCCAGAATTTGGATACCAGCCCAGAGTAGCCAAAACGCACTGCAGCACTGTTCCCTTCTCTCCCATGGGGCACAGCTACACTGGGGGCTATGTGGGAATGTGACATAAGGTTCTGGGTAAGCCCTGAACATCATAAGAGTCCATGGTGAGGAAACTAGCCACTGAAGTGGCACGAAGGAGACAAATCCAAGTCTAATAAGCTGCAGCTTGAATTTTTGTACAACAAAGTCAATTTCTACTGAAGGATGAAATTTGCAACGAAGTAGACTCTGTTACCGGGTTTCCCCTTTCAGTAAACAGTACATACAAATGTGTTAATATTCTTTTCCAAATTCTCAGTGTTTAGTTTATATATTTTCTTGAAGCAAAGAAATTAACATCTAAAGAAATTCCTTTACATTTTCCTGCATATATGTCATGAAATACAATCTTCTTAAGTGCCGTGGAAATAATCTCAGTGCTGGTTTTGATAACTGAGGACTACATTTCATCCCATCATGTGTGGTTTTCTTAAGGCCCACTGGTTCAGCAAAGTGTTGTGGCTAAATTGGGGCTTTAAACTCGAGGCACATGATGGGGATGAAAAGTAGGCATATGTTGCATTTAGTGCTATTTTCTTGACCATAGTGCTATATGTAAACCTTGTCACTGGTAACAGTTCATTAAAGATTAGACAGTTGGTGCTTCTTATAATTTATCATCCTCTGTGCATCTTCTGACAAGGACAGTTATGGCAGAAATTGGCCAGAAAATGTGGCATATTGAGAGTAGTCTATTTCTCTGCCTTGAGGTTAAACCTATTGCAGCTTCACTGCTTGTTTCTTGTAGTATCAATGCACTTGTGGACCTTGCTTGGTTGCTGAGGTGGTGGTATGGTTCAGTGTTCAAAAATAGGAATCCTTGTCTGTTCTGCATTTTAATAAAATACAAATAAAATTCCAAAAAGGTATTCCTTCATCCATCTTGTCTCTCAATATTCTGGGACCAATATGGCTACCATAGTGCATTCTACATTTGTCGTAATAGCCTTGTCTACACTGCTGTTGTCTGTTCTCTTAGGGTACGTCTAGACTACTGCGCTATTTCTGCGTCTTTTAAACCAGCCCATTATTTTGAAATGAAATAATGGACTTGCTATTATGACATCTTTGTAGCCCTCATTCCACGAGCATTAAGGGACAGTTAAGGAACATTTTGGAATAGCAGTTTATTATTTTGAAATAAGCTATTTCAAAATTAGATCGAAATAAGATATGCAATTTACCGTATATTCCGGCGTACAAGACGACCTCTGATGTTAAAAACCATCCCCCAAAAATCGGGGGTCGTCTTGTACGCCGGGTATACATCCCAGGCGCGCCTGGGATGCCCCCCCGCCGGCTTCCCCCGAGGCTTTGAAAGCCGCGGAGGGGCTCCGGCGGGGGAGCAGCCCAGGCGCGCCCGGGGTGGCCCCCCCCCCCCGCCTCCCCCCCGGGC